TCCTGGTGGATAGGAGTGCTTACAGTGGGGGCTGTGATGATGGGGAGAATTTGGAGACGTAGGTCCCCGCCTTTCCCCAGCCCCAAATAACAACAAATCCCCACACTTAACAAGCTGCCCTCAAATGGGTTCTGACTCGACCGGCCCCTCCAGGCTCTGCAGAGGTCCAAGAATCTGCAGCTCCTGACCTTGCCTCTCATGGCCTCCTGACTCTCTGTCTCCCCAGACAGCGCCCAAGAAAACCTCATTTGGCTCCCTGAAGGATGAAGACCGGATCTTCACCAACCTGTATGGCCGTCATGACTGGAGGTGAGGTGGTGCCCAGGAGCCTCATGGGTCCCAGGCAGCAGGGCCTCCCCCTCATTGGCTTCTGCACCTTGTCCAGGCTGAAAGGTGCCCAGAGTCGAGGTGACTGGTACAAGACGAAGGAGATCCTGCTGAAAGGACCAGACTGGATCCTGGGGGAGATCAAGACGTCGGGTTTGAGGGGCCGCGGAGGCGCGGGCTTCCCCACTGGCCTCAAATGGAGCTTCATGAACAAACCCTCGGATGGCAGGTAGGGAGGGCAGGCCGAGGGGGGACTGCAAGCGGGCCCTGGTGGTGGGGGAGCAGGAGATCAGGTTTGGTTTCTTAGAAACTGAGAATGGTTGGGTGGGAAAATGTCCTCAAGCTCTGAGCGGAAGGAACTCAGTTCCCGTTTATCCTCTTCCGGGAAGATGTGAAGCCAAGTTGACTCAGGATTCTGACATGGGCAGACTGTGTGTGGTTCACATCCTAGTTCTGCCCTGTAATCGTATGGCCGTGGGCAGGCCAGTCTTTTGTGAATAGGCATTCCAGCATCAGGTATGGGTTGGAGGACTTCATGCAGTGCTTCGCCTCCACATTGGTCTGTACTCAGGAGGCAAACAGTAAACGTCAGCTCCTCTACCTCCTTTTGGCCCAGAGGTGTGGTGGCGGTTGAGGAAGGCTCTTTGTGACCAAGAACAGAATCTATGTTCTCAGAGAAAAACTCAGGGAATGATACTTGGATTGAACAGAGCAAAAGACCTTTCTTGTGGTCGTAGCCACCCAAAGGTGGAGTGGGTGGTGAGCAAGCAGGAATCCAGGAGCATGCTGGGCGGAACGGAAGGCTGGGCCGCTGGAGGCTTCCCTAGAAGGAGTGAGGGTGGCGTGGGGTGAAGGGCCCCACCCTGTGGGTCTTGAGCCTGGCTGACCTGTTGGCCCCACAGGCCCAAGTACCTGGTGGTAAACGCGGACGAAGGGGAGCCGGGCACGTGCAAGGACCGGGAGATCATGCGTCACGACCCGCACAAGCTGGTGGAAGGCTGCCTGGTCGGGGGCCGGGCCATGGGTGCCCGTGCCGCCTACATCTACATCCGAGGCGAATTCTACAATGAGGCCTCTAACCTGCAGGTGGGTGGGCGTGGGAGCCGACGAAAGAAGGGGGAGCCAGGTGTTGATGCTTACCTGCCCACTCCTGCTATCCCATCACGATGTTCTTAGAACTGAGCCCGTGGTCCCTCCGAGTGGAACTGGGAGAGTTGTGACCGTGTCTGCGTGTCGTGGGTGGGATCTGGTTCTAAAGCCACCACCTGCGGCCTTGTCCTGGATGCTCCTCAAGTTAGGAGGCCCTGGGGGACTAGAAGCGACTGAGACTCCTGGGAACTCACAGAGGGGTCTAGGCATCACCTCAGTAATTTTTGGTGACACCTGTGTTAACTGGTCCACGCTCACTCCCTTTCTGTTAGGCTGTGAGACAGGGTACAGCACTGGTACCTAGAACAGTGCCTGGCATTTGGTGGTACTGTCTATGTAAGTGGTGGTATTGGGGTATCACTGACCAGGAACAAATCCGTGAGGCTCTCCCCTCACTGTGGAAGTAGCGTGTGCTACTCGTGTGGTCAGAGACAGAAAACAGCAGAAAGAAAAAACAACTCCACAGACGCCCTACCTGGAGAAACTACTTCCACCTGCTTGTTGAAAATGATGATAATTTTCTTAGTTCTTTATTTTTAAAATTCTGCACTGTGGTAGTGTTAAGTGTTGTTATTATGGAAGTGACACACAAATGCTAATTCCACCGTCTTCCTGGATGTCTTGTATCCATAGAGCTTGGGCCTAGGATGAGGTGACAGACTGAAGGCCTGTACACTCTGCATGTGCAGCGCATGAACACACGTTCACACACTCTCACACTCTCGGGACCTGGTACTCACCTGTTCGTCCATGCACATGTGCGCGCGTGCCTTGTCTGGGCTCTGAGGACTGTTGCACTCACCCCTCTCTCCTGCCCACACACACACACTTGCCTTGTCTGAGCTCTGAGGACTGCTGTGCTCACCCCCTCTCCCTCACACACACACATACACTCGTGCCTTGTCTGAGCTCTGAGGACTGCTGTGCTCACCCCCTCTCCCTCACACACACATGCTCGTGTGTGTCTGGGTTCTGAGGACTGCTGCGTTCACCCCCCTCTCCTGCAGGTGGCCATCCGAGAGGCCTATGAGGCTGGTCTGATTGGCAAGAATGCCTGTGGCTCTGGATATGATTTTGACGTGTTTGTGGTGCGTGGGGCCGGCGCCTACATCTGCGGGGAGGAGACGGCGCTCATCGAGTCCATTGAGGGCAAGCAGGGCAAACCCCGGCTGAAGCCGCCCTTCCCTGCTGACGTGGGTAAGGCCCGCCCCTCATCTCCGTGGCCTCTGGGGTTTGGGGTCTGGCTATAGGCCCACACTGGACCATTAGAGCATTTGAGTGCCCTGGGCCAGCGGATGCGTATTTGTCTGCAACTCCACTCCACGGCCTGTTCTGGGAGCTGGGGTGTCTGTTGAAGAAGGCACATGTACATCCTGGGACTCGGGGCCAGGGGACAGAATGAGGGAAGATGGGGTGGGGTTTCTGGTATGCAGCAGGGCTATTCCACACCCAGCCAGCTGGTTACCCTACTTCCCACAGGAGTGTTTGGCTGCCCCACCACTGTTGCCAATGTGGAGACAGTGGCTGTGTCCCCCACCATCTGCCGCCGTGGGGGTGCCTGGTTTGCCAGCTTCGGACGTGAGCGCAACTCAGGCACCAAACTCTTCAATATCTCTGGTCACGTCAACCACCCATGCACGGTGGAGGAGGAGATGTCTGTGCCACTGAAGGAGCTGATAGAGAAGCATGCAGGTGCCCGGGGGCCAGAGGACACTGTGGGGAGGGGGCTGGCAGAGAAGCATGCAGGTCCTGGGGGGCCAGAGGACACCATGGGGAGGGGGCAGATAGAGAAACATGCAGGTGCCCGGGGGCCAGAGGACACCGTGGGGAGGGTGCAGATAGAGAAACATGCAGGTGCCCGGGGGCCAGAGGACACTGTGGGGAGGGGGCTGGCAGAGAAGCATGCAGGTCATGGGGGGCCAGAGGACACTGTGGGGAGGGGGCAGATAGAGAAGTGACCGGAGGCCAGAGGACACCGTGGGGAGGGGGCTGATAGAGAAGTGACTGGGGGCCAGGGGACACCACGGGGAGGGGGCTGATAGAGAAGCACGCAGGTGATCCAGGCCAGGGGACACCACAGGGAGATGGCTGACAGGGGTGCCCAGGACCAGGGTCGACAGAAGCTCTTCCCAGCACTGACCCCTGTCCTTTTGTGTGCTGACCTGGTCCTAGGAGGTGTCACAGGTGGCTGGGACAACCTCCTGGCGGTGATTCCTGGTGGCTCGTCCACCCCCCTGATCCCCAAGTCTGTGTGTGAGACGGTGCTGATGGACTTTGATGCGCTGGTGCAGGCGCAGACGGGCCTGGGCACGGCCGCCGTCATCGTCATGGACCGCTCGGTGAGCCTGGCCCCTCCTGGGAGCGTGGACTCTGGGGAGGAGGCCGGGCTGCGGGCAGTCAGGCACCAGAGGGGATGCTGCCTGGGGACGGGGTGCAGGCTCCTCCCTGGCAGTGATGCTCACTCATTGTCCCCCAGACAGACATCGTGAAGGCCATTGCCCGCCTCATTGAGTTCTACAAACACGAGAGCTGCGGCCAGTGCACCCCCTGCCGCGAGGGTGAGCCCCTGTCATGGCGTGGGGCCCAGTCAGCCCAGGGCAAGGGTGGGGGACCCCAGCCACTGAACTGCTGCCTGCCAGGGGCAACCTCTGAGTCCCACTCCCACCCCCATCCCTCGCCCAGGTGTGGACTGGATGAACAAGGTGATGGCACGTTTCGTGAGGGGCGATGCCCGGCCGGCCGAGATCGACTCCCTGTGGGAGATCAGCAAGCAGATCGAGGGCCACACCATCTGTGCTCTGGGCGACGGGGCCGCCTGGCCTGTGCAGGTACCGAGGCTGTGCTGGGCAGCGCTGGGCTTGCCCGGTCCCCGTGGGGGTGCGGGTGGGGGTCCTGGAGCCGACTGACGTGGCATCCCCCCCAGGGCCTGATCCGGCACTTCCGGCCTGAGCTCGAGGAGCGGATGCAGCGGTTTGCCCAGCAGCACCAGTCACGCCAGGCTGCCCTCTGAGCGTCCCTGTGCCTGCCCATTGGGTGCTGACAATAAAGGCACCGTCTGGGTGCTGCCTCTCTTCTGTTGGGGTGTCTCTGATTTTGCTCCCCTGCTGCCTTGCCCTTCAAGGTCATGAGTGAGTTGACCTGAGGCTGCCCCCTCTGTGCAGGAAATGGGAGCCTGAGTAGGGCTGTGCTGGGGACTCCCCATCACTGTGGCCTGAGGTCCAGACCCTGGCTGGCCAGCAGCAGCCTCAGGTGGGGCCAGCAGGCACTCTGCTGAGAGGGGCAAGGGCTGTGGCTGCACCACGACGTAGAAAGAATGCACATGAGAGAACGGGTCAGGTCCGGAGCACATGACTAGCTGTTTTATGGCAGACTTCAGCGCAGGGAGAGGGGAACACTGACCAAGTGTGGGCATGCTGGGCCAGAGGGCTGGGAAGGGGCATGCAGCAGCCCGGGCTCCTTCCGACTCCACGGAGATCGGTCAATTCCAGGGCCAGGCGACGAGCAGGGCCAGGCCTGGGACCTGGCTAGTCGCTGAGCTGGAGGGGCTCGCCGTCCAGCGGGTGCCACAGCTCCAGCCGACAGTCACTGCGACCCAGGCACTCCTGCCAGTGCCACAGGCGCTCGCCACTGGCCTGGCTGCTTAGCTGCACCCCGCCTGATGTGGACACAGAGATTAGGGCCCGGTGGGGTGCTCCTCGGCCTGCCAGGCCTGCCTTCACACCTCACTCACCAATGAAGTCATCAGCGGTGCCCAGGTCATAGTCCCAGACGGACACCAGCAGCGTCTTCTGAGCCAGCTCCTCCCGCGGGCCTGCGTACAAGAATTCCTGCAGGGAGAGTGGTCAGGTCAGGGCCAGGGGAGGCTGGACCTGATGGGGAGCATTCACTCCATCCCACCTCACCCCTCAGGAGCCAGGTGCCCCTTTCAGGCTGCTGACCTCATTGAACTCAGGGTTCAGGGTCTTCTTGCGAACACTGGTCTTGAACTTAGATTTCTTCCCCATGTTGGGGTGCAGAAAACTGACAGAAGGAGGGGTCAAGTCAGGCATGGCCATGCAGGGGTGAGCTTCACCCCACCCACTGCCCACAGCTATACTCACAGACGGACAAACGGGTCCGAGTAGCCATTGGCATCCATGGGGGCGAGGTGGGCGCAGCGCAGCACACCCACCAGCAGCCCGCCCCGCTGGGAGCTGTAGCAGAGTGACAGCAGGATGCGCCCCCGCTCCTCCCCGGCCTCCACCTCCACTGCCTCCTGCAGGTCAGGCTTGGTCAGTGCACACCACCCACCCCCTGCCCAGTGCTCGGGTGTGGAAACGGGAGTCTCAGTCAGTTCACACTGCTCACCCACGGCTCAGGACTCAGATGTGGGAACCAGCGGGTCAGGCTTGGCCAGCCTGCGGGGCACGCCGCCACCCCAGGCTCAGGTGTGGAAGTGAAAGTGGCAAAGGTGTCCAGGACCCAGTTAATGCCTCACTTTCCAAAGGCAGTCCCCAGCCTGGTGCCCTGGAGGTGGCTTTGGGCTCAGCTTTTTCTCTGGGCCTGAGGGGTGCAGGCCTGATGGCCGCAAGTACCATCCCATTTGTTATGTGAGCCCTGAGTCACGGTAGCCATATGGGCAGCTGCTGTCCAGCCCGCATCCTGGTCATTCCACTCATACCGACCATATCTTCCCCCTCTGCCCCGGGGACACTGTGTGTCCTTCACCACACCTTGTGTCCAAGTACTCCCAAGAGAGAGGCCCTCTCAGGAGGCTGTGCTGCGTGTTAAGCAGGGCTGTCCAACCCACTCTCAGTTCCTGGTCAAGAAGGAGTACCCTGTGAGCACCTGCGGTGGGCAGGATGCTGGTAGGGCCTGGGACAGGAAGTGGGTGCTCCCCCTCTGTGGGGGATCCCACTATCCTGGTTTAACAGATGCTACAGAATCCTGTTCCTCCACTAGGGAGCAGTGTGCCAGGGCTTAGCAGGATAGAGGGCAGGGCCCTGGGCTCAGCCTTGCAGGTGTCACTCCCTGCCAGGTCACAGGAGGTCTTGTCCCATCTCTGATCACTGATGGGACCACAGCAGAACCTGCGCTCGTCCCCAGACAGGGCTTATTTCTAGCCATCAGCCCGTAGATAAGGGCAGATCCTGTGACTGGGGTACCCCACCTGTGCCCTCTGTCCTCGACCTTGTCCAGCTCTGACAGCGCAGGAGGGACAACAGGCCACTACACCGAGGTCCCAGTCTGCTCAGATGACCTCGAATGCTGCCTGCTGCCAGTGTCGTCCCAGAGTGGCCCTCCCCTGGCCAGCTTATCCAGCCCTGTTCCTCAGAGCTCTGGGGCTTCAAAGACAGCCTCAGACTCCCCAGTCCTGCCTCTGCCTGGCCCCTAGCAGTCTGGCTTGCCCTGTGCCCACCTCCGCGGGCCACATCTGACCCACCTCCTCATAAAGGGACATGCCGCGGGCTGTGTCTAGGCTCTTGGGCCTCTTGGTCTGAAAGAGCAGAGAGTTAGTCACCTTGGGAGGCCCTGCCCAGAGCCCCCCCGCCCCGTACAGGTCCTGACCCTGCTGTCCCAGGACCCTGGCCCCACGCACCAGCCTCCGCTTCTCCAGGCAGATGTCGAAGCTCCGTGCGCGGTTGGGCACCAGCTTCCTCAGAGGCACCCGCAGCTCCCCCAAGGGGGGTCCCCGCCGTCGCCGCAGCCTTGGCTCCTCACACACACACAGCCTGGGGGTCGCCCCATCAGACCTGGCGGGGCCACACCTCCCCTCCCCCTCCCTCCACAGCCCCGCCCCCTCCGCGACCCCCACCTGTACTGTCTGGGCTCCACTGCCTCCCGCACCCACCCAGGTTCTCACCGCAGAGTCTTGCGCCCCGCGTCCTGGCGGGTGAAGCCGTGATAGGTGAGCGTCTCCTCCCAGACCGGCCCCCGCGTGCCCCTCACAGTGCGCGTGCGCAGCTGGCTGGCCTGGGGGCCAGGGGCTGCTTAGGGACCACCCAGCCTCCCCGCAGGACCCCTCCTCGCACGTCTCAGCATAAGGGGGCTCCGTCCCCGGTGGCGCCCGGGCTGGGTGGCTGAGGAGCAGCTATGAGGCCGGGTCCCACCCTCACCTTGCTGGCACCAGGCAGCAGATCAGCCTTGACGTAGGTGTCCACGGAGCCCGAGGCCGGGGGCTTGAGGCCCTGGGAACAGACCGTGGGTGTGGGCCGGCCGGCGGGTGGGCAGCCCCGGGCCCCCCCCCCCCGGTACTCACCTTGGCGCGGTGGGCTGTGCAGTGCAAGGCGCTGTTTTCCACGTCGAAGAGCAGCGTGAACTCCAGGGTGCCCAGGCCAGCTGCGGACGGGGTGGGGGGTGGCAGGTCAGCCCCACCGGCTCGGGGACCTCCAACCCCCCCAGATCAGATGCGGACGGGGGTGGCAGGTCAGCCCCACCGGCTCGGGGACCTCCAACACCCCCCCAGGCCGGACCCAGCCCGCCTAGTCTGACCCCGGGGTGCCCTGTTCCCGTGGACACTCACTGCTGTCATCCGAGTCTCCCTCGGACTCCAGGTCGGGCGAGGACGGGGGTGCGGTGTGTGTGGCCTGGTCACCGGGGCGCGGGCCGGGCGCGCGCAGGGCGGGCTCCGCGAAGGGGTAGAAGTGCGGGAAGTAGTCGGAGATGAGGCGGATGGGCCGGATGGGGCCCGGGCTCACGTCGATGGCCATGTGCTCCTGCATGCTGATCCGCTGCTCCCGCCACCGGCCCGCCGCCGCTGAGCCCGCCATGGGGGCGTGTGCATGGGCACCTCAGAGGGACCCCGGCCGGCCGGGACGCGGAAGCATCTCCGAGGGCTCCGGGATCTGCAGATAGAGCGTGGGGTCATGGTGGCACCGGGCTGGGGATGAAGGAGGGGCGCACGGTGGGGTTGGGTTACTCACCGCCTGAGAGCCACCTTCTGGCTAAGGTGGCAGCTGATGCTGTTGGGTCACAGAGCCGGTGATGAAGTGACCGTGTGAACAAGAGTGCAATCGATGCCACCCCCAAGCCCGTGGCGGGAGGAAGGGTGCTAGAGAGTCAGGGCACATGGCCCCCCATAAGGGTCCCCCCCTCGTGCTGGGCTCAGCCTCTCTCCTGCCTTCCTTCACGCCCCCCCTTCACACATAGTCAAAAGGAGTTATTTTTACCACCATGTGGCCCTGGAGGCCAGAGGTGACAAACAGGGGGTGAGGACCATGGGAGAGGGGGGAGGATGTATTTCAGGGGAGAGGTGCTTGGGGAGGAGAGGGGCGCTGTACAGGAGAGGAGGGGCATGTCGCCGTTAGGTGGGGTCTCCTGGAGGTGCCCCTGGAGGAGGGGATGAGGGGGCTGCAGGAGGGAAGAGACCAAGGAAGGGAGGGGCAGTCCAGTCCCTGAGCCAGCTCAGGGACTTTTAAAATCTCGGTCAATTCACCTGAACCCCACCAGACCCCCACTGGCTTGAAATACAACCTTCCACTTGGCTTGCCTCTGCCAGAGCTCTCAGTGGCCATGTCCTGCCTACAGCTTAGCTCAGTTTCCTTGAACAAACCAGGGGTGTGTACCCCCTAATGCTCCTTCTCAAACATTCTCTGATCTTTGACCTAGCCCTCCAGCTCATCTTCAGTTTCAAGGTCATTCCACCCTGGTAACCTGATCTTGTCCTACAGCCTAGCTCCATCCTCTAAGTGTCTTTGAAGGCTACTTTTTCCCATTCAATCCAGGGGGTTTCAGCCCCATTCCCAGGCCAGTCTTGTCAATCAGTGTATCCCAAGTTCACTGCCCCACCTCACTGACTCAGGGAAGGCCACTGAAGTGCACCTGCAGACTGGCTAGGCAGAGAAGCTGTGTCCTCTCCTCAGCCCCCAGCCCTTTGAGACGGACTGGCCCTTACCATTGGGCCTGTACAGAGGAAAACACAAGAAAGCCTCCTGGATTCAGCCTTGCTTGAAGCAGCCTCATCTCTGAATTTGTAACCATCATTACATTTATTGAAGTCAGTTGTTGTTGTTGTCAAGACCCTATGTACAATAGCCCTGAAACCTGCTCTATCCTGTGCCAACCTTATTGTCTCTGACACACCTTCCGTCATTAACTCAGTCACTGAATCAATCCTTTTCATCCAGGGTTTTCCTCTCTTGCACTGTCTCTCCACTCTTCCAAGCATGATGTCCCTCTCCAAAGACTGGTCCCTCCTTGGAATAAATCATAAGTATGTCAGACAAAGCCTCAGAATCCTTGCCTCCAAGGAACAGTCTGGTTTTACCCTCTCTAGGACAAACCTATTTGTTCTGTCAGTCCAGGGTACATTCAATACTCTTCTCCAGCACCACAGCTCAGAGGCATCAATTCTCTATCATCCCTAGTCATTGTGCAGCTTTCTGATACATAGCAAGTAATTATGAAGACTTTGTCCTGGATCAGGTGCACCTTAGTCTCCAGACTGACATCATTGCTCTTTAGTACTCTGGAGAAGTCCCTGACATCAGACTTTCTTAATGCAATTCATCTCCTGATTTCCTGGGTGCTGGTACCAAGAGTGTTGATTGTGGAGCCGAGCAAACAGAAGCTGTGAACAATCTCAGTCTCTTCACGGCCTACCACTTACCAAGGCTGATATTGCCAGACCACCATGTTCAAGTTGAACTACTTACTTCCTCAACTCTCTGTGTAATTGATGTGTAATCATAATGTTATTTGTGTATAAGTAACAGTGTATAATCATATTAATCCCTGGTCTCAGGTCTCCCCAGACTATAAGCACCTCTCATCTCCACTCCCCAGTACATACACACAAACAACGCAGTATCTGGCTGGTTCTCAGATAGTCCCCAGGTCAGGGTTTGACACAAGGCAAGGCTCAGTTTACTGGGGCTTTGGAAGTAAACTCCAGGGTGGAGGATGCCTCCACTCTCCTTTGAATCCCTCAAGTTCCCAGCCCAGGGCCAGCTCACCCGGAGGTGGATAGTTTGAAAGGCTGGAGTTGAGGCTCTGGGGCCAGAGCTGGTTCAAATCCTAGCTTCTAGTGACCCCAGGCAAGGTGCCCACTGTCCTGAGCCCGAGTGTTGTGAGAAGACCCAGGTTAAGAGGACCTACTGCCAGGCGATCCTGGCTCCTTGTGACCTGCAGAACAGAGCAGGACGCACGCAGGGCCTCCAAGGCTGCAGAGCTCTGTGGAAGCAGACTGCCTCATCGTTCTGAGGAGCAGAACCTTTGTGTCAGAGCCGACCCATAGCTGACCCTCCAGGGGGTTTTCAGAAGCAGTAAGTCACGCAGCAGGAGACTGCCCATCCTTCTCCCAAGGAGCAGCTGGTGGGTTTGAGCAGCGTGCCTTTGGGATTGCGGCGCAATTTCTTACCACTAGGCCACCACAGCTCCCTGAGGGATAGTGGAGAGATTCAAGCCACCAACCAGCCTTTCTGTTAACAGTGCAATGCTTAAGCCACTGCACCGCCAGGTCTCCGCAGCAGACCGTGAGCATTCAGCAGCAGTGTGACTTAGTGACGGTCAGCAAGCTGGTGGACCCTGCTCAGGGCCAGGCTCCAGTATGAAGAAGCCAGAGCCAAGGGTTGGCAACCATTCTTTATTCAGTCCTGGAGTGGAGATGGCCTTGGGTGGCAGAGGCAGGGGCTGCTGGAAGCCTGTCCTCAGTACTCAGGCACCTGAAAACCAGCCAGACGAGGCTGGTAGGTGGCCGGCGCCAGCAGCTGCAGAGTGAACTCAGTAACGATGGCAGTGAGGCCCCAGATTCGGTGTGGCCCATGCAGAAAGACGGGCAGTGTGTATCGGAAGTGACCGCGCTGGCAGAAGTGGGTGTAGCCCTGATTCTGTGCCTGTAGCAGGTGGGCCAGGGGCAGTGTAAATACTTCATCCACCTGTGGGGGGGGACAGAGGTGGACACAGGATAGGCAGCTCCCATCCACTGGGAGCCCCACTCAGCACATCCATGCTTACCTCCTCCAGGCTGGGCTTGAGGCTCTGGGGATCCAGGGGGCCCACGTTGGCCAGCACTGGCACCACGGTGGACTTTTGCTGTGGCAGAAGGAGGCAGGTGTCAGAAGGAGACAAGGGCCGTGGGCCTGGAGGAGAGTCTGTGAGCCTACCGAGGACAGTTCCACCCTTGAGCTCAAGGGAGCACTGACCCAGATCCCAGTACAAGGCCCAGTCCAGGCCTCGGGTCCTTTCTAAATGGTTTGCTCCACCTGGAACAACCTGCCTATTCATGACCTTTAAATCTCCCCAGGGAGCACTGGTGGCTTAGAAGCAAGGAATTAAACTGCCAACCCAAAAGCACACAGTTTGAATCCACCTGCTCTATGGGAGAAAGATGGGCAATCTCCTGTGCGTGTTACAGCCTCAAAAGCTGGAGGTTTGGCTATAAGTTGGTTCCAACTCAATAGTACATAACAACAAAGCAGCAAAATCTCCCCCTGCCCTTCAAGGCCTGGCTCAGTTCCTGGCTGCCCTGAGTGGGTCACCCCTTCACCCCAGGACCGTCCTCCACTGACCTGTGCATCAGATCTGTCAAAACCCCAAACGCACTGCATCCAGTACGATTCTGACTCACAGCAGCTCTACAGGACAGAGCAGGACTGCCCATGGGCTTCCAAGGCTGTTGTCCCTGTGGAAGCCAACTGACACCTCTGTTCCCCCTGTGCAGCAGGTGAATTGGAACCACTGACCTTTTGGTTAGCAGCCAAGTGCTTTATCTACTGTGTCACAACCCAAGAACTCCTTGTCACAGAATCTGTTTCAAATCATAGTGACACTATGGGACAGAGCGGAACCGCCCCAGGTTTCCAAAGCTGCCTCATCACAGACGGCACCACCTCGCTCTCCTGTAGGACAGTGAAGGGGGTCAAACCACGACCTTTCAGGTAGCAGCTGAGTGCTTAACCACTGCATCACCAGGGCTCCTTCCTTACACATAAAGGGAGATGGAAATACCTGCACCCAAGGTTGTAGGTATGAAACAAGTGAATGCCCTCCGCTCATGCTGGCCTCACAACCCCTCTCACTGGCCCAGGAGCTCTGCCCTCTGAGCCCTCGGGCTCATGGGAGGGATGACTATGTATAGGGTCAGGCTGGTGGGAATCTTTGGCCTGGCGGGCTCACCTGGTCAGGTATCGGGTGCATGATTCCCCACACATTCTGCTCAGACACCTCCAGGCCCAGCTCCTCCAGGGTCTCCCGCAGGGCCGTGTGCACCACGTCCTGGTCAGTGGGGTCACACTTGCCACCTGGGAAACTGGGCAGAGGGTTGTCGATTGGTTCTTGGGCTGCTGAAGCCACGGAGAGGCTCTGAGGTCTGCGTGGTGGTGGCAGCAGTGCATTGTCTTAGGACACCGTTTGCCTCTGTCCTGAGCTTGCAGTGAAGGGGGAGGCAGACAGCTATGACTGGAGGCAGTTTACCTCCCTGAACAACAGGAAGGCTGGGGAGAGGCCCTTGAAACCCTGGAGAGTGGGTACAGGGCAGTTTGGCAAGAAAGGTCTACAGCCCTGACACCCAGATGCTGCTTAGGGTGACGGTGGCCTCAGGGTGATCTAACTTCTGCTGGAGGTGGGGCAGGGACAGGAAGTTCAGTAGCACTGGCCTGAACTTGCAGTCCAGGCTTCTGGACCCGGGATCTGAGCCTCCCCACATTCGCAGGCAGGGGCCAAGGAGGGTTCTGCTTTTTAGAGTGGGAAACAGGAGTTTTCAGCTCGAGGTGGAAGGGGAGGCGTTGCGAGGGTGCAGAGTCCGGGCACACGGGTCACACTGACATCTCGCCACCGCCTGGTGCACCGTCGTGCCACTTTACAGAGGCGGAAATCGAGGCTCAGAGGGCCAAGAGCCGGCCGCCCCCGGGACCCCGCGGCCTCCTCCGGAGCAGGGAGGGCGGCCCCAGCGCGTACCTTACGTCGCCCTTGTGCCGTCCAGCCAGGCGGCTGGACCGCAGGGTGTACAGCAGCGCGGGAACTCCGCGCACCAAGCACAGCGGCACGAGCACGGCGGCCGCCGCGGGCCGTGAGCGGTACCGGGCCGTGGCCCGAGCCAGCACCTGCCGGCAGCGCCTCTCGTCCTCGGCCGACAGGTTGTCGGGCACCATGTCCAGCCCGAGTGCGACCGGGACAGCAAGGGCGCGACGGGCAGAACTGGGCCTCGAGGCCCCGCCCACTCCCCAAAGGCGTCCAAGAGCGCGGCGGGGGCGGGGCCTCCAGGGGGCGGGGCCTGTGCGAGAGCCTATGAGGGATTTCGAGTCGGTGCGGCGGTGGGCGCGGTCTGGGAGGGCGCCATAGTGTGTGGGCGTGGCCTTGGATAGATCCTCCAATCGAAGTGACGGAGGCGCGGCCGGGGGAGCCAGGGGTGGGCCGGAAAGGGCGTCTTCCTAGGGGGACGGGGGTGGGGCTCGGGGCGGAGCCTCAAGGGAAAGAGGCGGGAGCGAGCTGGGTTTCTGCTGTGGCTGCTCCTAGTGATCACATCCAACAGTTCTCACCACGGAGTACGAGAGAGCCGGGTGTCTGACCGTCAAAGCCTTCCCAAATCCTACGTTTCCCCGCCCCTCCGAAGGCCCGTCCCTCCCCAAAGGCGCAGGGACCGAGCTTAGAGCGTCTACTGTCCAGCGATCGGAGGCCTCGGGCCGGAGTGGTGCTCAGCCCGGTTAGCCCTCCCTGCACCGCCAGGTGGTACGCCCAGCCCCGGGCCTCGGCTTCCATTAGGGCTCCAGCCACCAGGCCTTTGGCACGCGTTGCTTGTCACAACTTGGAAGCTCTTCTCTCCTTTCCTGGGCCATTCTTATTCATTCTTTAGGTGTCAGTTTAAATGACATTTTCTCCCGGGAAGCTTTCCTGACTCAGGTCTTCACTGAATTGAAATGACATTACATGTGGTAATTATCCTCCTGTAGGACCTCGGCTCCCAGTTACATGACTAATCAGCGGGAGCGGCCCTGCTTTGCTGGGAGAGTGCACACACAGAGCTGTTTTGGTCCTCAACTGATTGCAGGAGGCAGCGAGCCTGAGCCCATGTCCTCTAAAGCCCTGCCACTCTGTCAGTGTCACCATCACCACATGCCCACCGGAATGCAGACAGCAGGAAGCAGAGCTTTGAAGCATCCGTGGGCTAATGCAGGGGCTGCCCTGGATCGGAGTATTCTTGAGACCCTCCCATGCCCTGAAGACAGTACTCTGACCACCCATGCCAAATGGTTTAATGTTTGGGAGGGGGGGGGCAAGAAGGAGGCAAAGCCAGATTTGGGGATTTAGTACTAAGGCAGGAAGGGGTGGAATTCTCTGGTGCTGGGGAGCCGAAGGCCTGGCATGTCTCCAGCTTTGTGTGACTCTGGGCAGGTAGCTCCCCTCCCCCGAGATAGAGGAGAGGTTGAACAGGAAGGAGTAAGGGGGGCCTCTACTCAGGTAGGGCTGGAGGGGATGGGACAGAGGTGGATCTCCTGCCACTGCTGTGGGTCTAGGACAGGAGGGATCTGTCCACAGGTGCTCCTATAACTATGGGTCCTGGCCAGGGCCCAGGCACACAGCGGTGGGTGACAGGAGCCCAAGCCCTTCTGAGAGGGGCAGGCGCCCTTGGTCCCTAACAGTGTGAATGCTGGGGAGGGGGTAAGGTGTTGATCTGGCCTTCGGGATCCCAAGGGGGCTTGGGGCTCCAGAGTACAGGCTTGGGTGGGTGAAGGTTCGGTAGGTAGATGGGGCAAGCAGGGTCTCAGTGGGGCCCAGCAGCTGGTGCTGGAGCCTGGCAGGAGTCCTTGAGATGGAAGCTGAAGCTTTATGGGGGTCTGAAGGATAAGATGGTCAGAGGGGACCCCAGACTTACCCTCACATCGAAACCCTCATCCTGGGCCTGCCATTTCCCTGTTCCTGTTCTTTCCACCTGAGGTAGCCCCCTCTCAGTCTCCATCTGGAATTTCTCCCCCACTTTCTCCCTGTGCTCAAACCCTTCCCAGTCCTCTCAGGAGCCTATAAACCCTCTCCTCCAAGAAGCCCACCTGACACCCCTCCCTCAGTTTTCAGCATCTCATCCCTGCCCTTTTCTTTCTGTTCTGGGGCCTGAATTGTCTTAGAATCCTCATCCTCTACCTTGTGTCCACAAAGATGCCTGGTGGGAATGCTGGGAAGGGGGAGCCCCTTCTGATGGCCCTGTGGCCTAGCTCCTTGCTTCTGCCGGCCAGGCTCTGGTCCAGCTGTGCCAGTGGCTTAGGGGCGGGGGGCTCACCTTTCTCCTGTTCAGTGGGGCCCTTCACTGGGCAGGGGCTGAGGTTGCTGGGACGCTGATTCCGGACTGGGACACTCATCAGGGGCCGTGGGGACACAGGCCTGAGATGGGGCAAGCAGGAATGAGAAGGTCAAGGTGAAGACTCCAGAGCAGAGGTCAAGGCCAGAAGCAGGTGGTAGTACCCAGGAGAAGTCAGAGGGCATAAAACCAGGTCAGGATCTGAGGATGGGCTCTAAGGGTGGACCAGGGTCTGGGAAGGGCCAGGGTGGGGCTGCGACTGGACAGAGCTGTCCAGGGCTGGAAGGTACCAGGAGTCCGAGTCACTTTCTCTAAAGCCCTTGGCAAAGGGGTTGCTGGCGATTTTCAGCTGTGTGATCTGCAGAGAAGAGAGTGTGGTCACAGGACAGCCCCCAATCTGGGAAGGCAGTGGGGTCCCAGGCCCCAGTCTGGGAAGGCAGTGGGGTCCCAGGCCCCAGTCTGGGAAGGCAGTGGGGTCCCAGGCCCCAGTCTGGGAAGGCAGTGGGGGTTCCAGACTCCCAGTTTGGGAAGGCAATGGTTGTTCCAGTCTGGGGGCCCCAGGATCCTGGACCAGTGACGTTGGAGCTGGTAGGTGTGAAGGCAGGGGAATGAGTGGGTAAATGGCCACTGAAAGAGGACAGGGCAGGGACTGACCCTGTGTGCTAAAAGCCTGAGACCTCAGTCTCCACCCTTAGGAAATGGGCCGGTGGCTGGTGCCTCCTGAGTTGTGGTAACGGTCTCACCCACCCGGTGGTTCTGGTATGCTGTCACAGCCATGAACTGGGTCTCGGTGAAGAGGAAGGACTTGAAGTTTTCCTGGGCGTAGCGCTCGCTGTCCTTCCGTGGGTCCACAAAGACCACATGGAAGCGGGGCTGGTAGCGGTGCATGGAGTTGAGGATGATCTGGGGAGGGAGAGGGAAGCAGAGCCTTTATGAGACTGAAGCCCTTCTCCCCAGGACAGGGAGACCGCCTGGGCCTCTGGGGGGAGGAGGAGGGACCCAGCCAAGGTATTCCTGGATCCCAATCCTTTCTCTTTGTGGAATCTGAACTTGAGAGTCAAGGGTAACCAGTTCCCCTGCCCTTCTCAGATCCCACATCCTAACAGTCAGGGGTCCCTTCAAACTGACCACTTCTCCCAGTCACCATCATCTCTCCTTGGATTCCTTCAACAGTCTCTTGGCTGCTGTCCCTGCTTCCACCTGTCTCAGGCTCTGTCCCATCAACTCACCCTCTACTCAAAGCCCACTAAATGGGGAAAAAGCCCTCACCCTAAAATGACCAGCCCATCCTGCAGGACTGAGCCCACTCCCTCTAGGGTCTCTCCTTCTCCTGGTCCACTCCAGACCAGCGAGGGGAGGGTGGACTCTGCCGTTCCTCCAACTCGCCACCCTCTCCGACCTCAGGGCCTTTGCACTGCTGTCCCCTCGGCTGGATATGCACAGGATCCCTCCCACCACTCCAGAGTTCAGTCCCATCTCATCTGGACCCCCTTCTCAAGGGACAATCACCCTGTGCTTCCACCTTCCCCCTGGCTCCTTCTTGGCATTCACGGCTGGCTGTTTCCTTGTTTGACAGCTGCCCCAACCCCTACGTTGCCTGTGAGGGCAGGGGCTTTGTCTCCAACCACATGCGGACAGCACTGTATTGGGCACTCACAGTGGCCTGGCCCCTGAGAAGTATCCACTAGACTGCTGATAGATGGGTTTCTACGTGTGCAAGTCTGTTAGTTCAGTGGACAGTGTGACCTTGGGGTGCCACTGAGCTACCAGGAAACAGACTGGTGGGGTCAGAAATGCTCTCTCATCCCCATCCCACTTTTCCACCTGCCCAAACAGTGTTCAGTGCCCTGCCTTGGCCCTCAGCAGCCAGGAGGGGTTCTAGCAAGGCCACAGGGCACCTGAGGCCAAGCCAGGCTCCTGGCACCCTCACAAGCCATCCCAGCTCCCCACGCCTGGCCCAGCTCCTCCTCGGGCCCAGGCCTCACGTGGCCATTGTCATCCAGCAGGTTGTTGGTCAGCTTGAGCTTGTCAAAGGACACGATCTGTCGCATCCACTGCGCACCCTTGGCTGGTGAGTCTGGATGGAAGTGCACGCGACCAGGTGTGGCCGGGTCCGCCTTGCCGGCCACCAGCCAGGCTGAACTGTGGAAGGCGTACCTGGGGAGCAGAATGATGGCCGAGCTGTCACCTCTCCCACCCTCCTTGCTCCCTCAGCCTGACCCAGGGCCAGCACTGACCCGTGCACTGGCCCAAGAGGGAGAGGAGGCGCTGGTCTCTGCCGAGTGGGAACCTGAGGCCCCGAGAGCATGCTGTCCCGGGTCTCCTGAACCTGGCTGAGGACCAGCTAACTCTGCTGACCAGAACTAGCCCCCTCTGCCTGCCCAGCCAGCCTCGCCCGCCGCTCGTGTTGGATTTCCTGAGCTGAGTCTGCTTCTACCATCAGGCTGGCTTCTGCCCCAGCTGACCCTTCTGAGGCTGACCCCTGCCTGAGACCCTGCCCTGGGCTCAGCACCTGAGGCCTCGGAACCCTGGTCCCCCGCCAGCCCAGACCTGTATCTCTTGTCGTCCAGGGGGACAAAGTCCATAAGCAGGGCATAGTCGGCCAGCGTATCCATGCCCAGGATCTTCACCTGAAAAGTGGGAAACATCCTCCTGCAGGAGGCAGGCGCTCAGCGACCCAAGAGCAGGCAGGGCCCCGCCCACTGTCCACTGGCCCCACCCCCCGCGCCTGTCCTTCCTGACCCCGCCCCACTGCCCGCACCTGCCAGCCTTGGTGACGATCATCTCTGTGCCCAGTTGGTTGAACTCCTCCCACAGAGACTTCATCTCCAACTGCACCGTCACGCTGGACACGCGGGGATTCTTGGGGCCCTGCCCGGAGGGCTCAGCCACTGCTGGGGCTCCTGGGCCATCAGTGCAAGGGCCTGGAGGGAAGGGTGGGCCCAGCCGGGGCTCCCAGCTGGAGATGCCCACAGGGAGGGTGCAGGTCTCAGAAGGTGCCAGTACACTGAGGCCGGCAGAGAGGAAGGCTGGGGAGAGAGGACGAAAACGTGGGCGCTGTCCCCGACTTGCACCCCGCTTGTCACTCAGCCTGGTGACCTGCTGGTAAGCTCTGTGGTGGAGTGGTAAGAAGCTTTGCTGGGGGCCTAGCAGTAAGAAGCTGCTCCGCAATCCCAAAGGCGTATGGTTCACACCCACCAGCAGCGGGAAAAGGATGGGCAATCTCCTCCCCTGAGATATACTGTCTTTGAAAACCCGCTGGAGGGACTGTATGAGTTGGTTCTGACTTGATGACACACAACAACATCACCCAGCAGCCTCCATCCTCAGGCTGAACCTCAGCTTCCTCCAGGAAGCCCTCCTTGCCTGCAAGCCTCTGTGTTCCCACAGTATCACTTCAGGAAGAAAATTAATGTTCATTTCACAGTCTGTTTCCCCAGTAAGCTCCTGGGTCTGAGGACATGCCGCCTTCTCCCTGGGAGATCCTTGAGCTGCTCTGTGTCCGTGGGCTGGAGTTCACTGCTGCAGGTCTTCCACAAAGGCTCTTAGTCCCTTCGACCCCCGGGGCTCACCTCCAGAGAGCGTCCAGCTGATACAAATACCTAACTGACAGATGGAGCCAAAGGGGGACACCATTCCTACTCCGAGTCACAGCGATCCTACAGGACAGAGCAGAACCTTCCTACAGGTTTTCCAGCCTCGTCTCTTTGAGGAACCAGACTGACAGCCTCGTTTGCTTCTCTCTCACAGACTGAGCTGGTTTGAACCATTGACCTTTTTCGCTTAGCAGCCAAACTCTTAACTTTATACCACCAGGACTCAGCGCTACAGCACCACGGCTCCTTGAGGCTCCTGCTTCTACTGGGCACCGTGAAGCTGAAACCAACTCATAGCTTACCCTCTGGCAGGTTTTCAGAGGCAGTTAATCACTGGGAAGAGATTGCCCATCCTTCTCTCAAGGAGCACCTGGTGGATTCTAAGTGCGTGCCTGTGGAATTGCTTCGCAGCTTCTTACCACTGGGCACCAGAGCTCCCAGCCACCACTTACTCTGGCCATCCCTGACCTTGGAGACTCCTGCCCATGTCCTGCTTCCAAAAGCACCTTCCACCATCTCTCTGCTGTAACTTCACTTGTTCCTAAAGGCTAATCTTTTGTCCGTGATCCTGGCACAAGCCGGGATGCAAGCACTGCCATCTCTTAGTCCTAAATTCAGTGCTAAAACCAGGATCTCTTTGAGGCAGCCTCACCAGCTTAGAGCTGAACTGAGCCAAGAGGGACCTTCTCCCAGAGCCCCAGAGAAGGGTGGGGCAGGGCAGGGCTGCACTCTGGGAAGACTCCTGGCTGCCCAGAATGGATGCTCATGGGCCCAGGTCATCAGACAGGCAACTGCATGTCACCAGGTAACCAATGCCAGCCCCTGAGGTCATGACAGATGTTAGAAGGGTAGGTCTCGTGGCTTCACTGGGCCTACTGCCCATTCGAACCAACCTGCCACCCTCAGGTATTGAGGGATTCTGAAGATGGGAGCTGGTCTCTGCTCAGGTCCTCTGATGGAGAGACCCCCCAGGGGCCAGTAGCAGACAGTCTCCCAGAGCCCCAGGTCTGGAAGAGCAATGAGGAGCCCCTAGTCCAGGTCCCAGACTAGCTCTGAAGGGGCCCAGGGAGGGGCAGGGGCAGGCCCAAGGTCACACATGGTTAATGGGATTCACATGGAAGAAATGGTTCTGACCCCCCTGACCCCCTCTTTACAGCTGGGCAGCTGTGAGCCCATCAGCTAGGCTCTGCCAGGTGCTAGGACCTGTCCATCTCCTTTTTCAGGGCATGCAGTTTTGGGGGCTCAGTGGTCTCCAAGCCCACAGCGACCACCTTGGACTACCTGCACCCTACCTGCCATCAGGATGGTTGGCTGGAGTCAGGCAGAACTGACACCTGTGGGGGTCTGGTCCACCCCACCTGCCTCCACGTTCACGTGGCGACCACAGCCCAGCTGTCAGGTGCAACGTGGGGTCCCCACTCTCCTCAGGACCGTCTTCCCTGTCCACTGTCCTCTGCCGAGTCTCCAAGTCTCTTCTCCCACCAGAGTGGGCACCTGTTCTCCACGGTGGGGCTCAGCTTGTGGGGCATGCAGGCCCCTACCAGGCCGCTCGCTCAGACTGTGCTGTCTGGGCTCCGAGTGGGAGCTCTGTGGGAAGGTGGGAGGACGCTCTGACGTTGCAAAGCTGCCCCTCCCCTTGGCAGCTGAGAGCCCCCAGCCAAGCTCGATCAATGGGCCTAAGCGCAGGGTGGGGGCCCGCCCTGAGGACAGGCTGGGTGGTCCATAGAGACCCAGGCCTAGCTGACTGGTGGAGTGGGGGCTGGTAGGGGAAGCAGGTGAGTGGCAGAGGCCAGTGGCCTCTCCCCAAGACCCTGACCCAGGTCGGGCGGCTGGTGTGCAATTCCAGAGAGCTGGAGGCAAATTGGCTGGGATCAGAAGTCCCTGCTCTGAACAAACAAGTCCAGTGAGCCAGATGGCAGGTCCCTAGCAGGCTTGATGCCTCAGTTTCCCCAACTGACCCAAATGTATAGTGTCTTCAGCTTGGGGGGGGGGTCTAGCGTGGGGCGGGGTGAGGGGAGGCTGCTCATTCAGCAGTGGGGGCTGTGTCTGTTGATGGAGGCCCAGGGAGCTCTGGTGCCTGAGTGCTAAGAAGCTGTGCTGCAAGTCCAAGGGCACGGGGTTTGAATATCTCCTTCCGTGTGATTTACAGCCTCTGAAAACCCACTGACGGGTCAGTTATGGGTCGGTTCACCCCTGATGGCACGCAACAACAATGAGGATTCCATTAAGGTGCAAACTGGGTCTGGGGCCTCCCAAGCCAGGTGCCCCTGGGATGAGTGTCTGTCTGCTCTGTCCGTGACCTGTCTGCAGTCTCTGGCCTGACAGTGCCCAGGTCGTGTGGGCATTCAGGGGCATCGATCACCCGTCCTTTGACTGAGCGTGCTCTGCAGCTGTGTGAGCACTGTTGTAGGACCAGATGTGACCCAGAGAGCAGCCCAGGCCAGTCCCCAGGCCAGAGAGCCAGCTGGTGTGCCACTGATGGGGTCCCCAAAATCAGCTGGACACCCCCTATAACACCCCTGAGTCCGATGCTAGGAACATGGCAGGGTAGAGGGGCCATGGAGCAGTCAGAGCAGACCCTGCCGCCATCCAGGGGTGTCCCCCCAGATCACAGCCTGTGGAGCTGGGCACTGGACCCCAGAGGGTGACCCCAGGCACAGACTCGAGACTGCTGAGGGACAGCGGCTGTCACCAGGACCAAGGCCACTGCTGAGTGAGACGGGGCTGCTCTGTGCTGGGATGGGGATCCCAGCAGTTCCCTCTGCCACCAGGGTGGGGGCCCTGTCTGCATGTCCCAGGATACACAGTGAGTGGGGGGTGATGGTGGAAATCTGGGGGTCCACAGTCTGCTAACTCCCCTTCAGCTCAGACACCCAGGAAGAGACACCTAGGGCCCCACGGACTCCTAAGACGTGTGTACGCATTGGACACACACTGACACATAGCACAGCCAGACACACCCCTCCCTCCGCCCGAGGTGCTGCCTGGCCCCCTGCCCCTTCATCCATCTTCCCTGCCAGGCTGTCCCTGGTGCCCCCATATCCTTCACACCTTCTCATCTTGTGCTCAATACCGGGAAGCAGTGTGGCAGCCACAGCCGCGGGGAGATGGATGGGCCAGGTGGGGGCGCAGAGCAGGGAGGGCACTTGAGCTGCAGCTGTGGGCTCCAGCCGCTCTGCTGTCTGGCCAGGAACTGCCCCCTGGGCCTCCAGTGGGCTGTGGCTGTTCTACTGTCCTGGGACCTGACCATGACACCCAGTTCCCTGAGCAGGTCGATGTCTGCTCCCCACACCCCTGACACTGAGGTGCAATGTCCCCCGATGGTGGTGAGTGTTAGAAATGGGGCTAACTTATCAGGACTCCTTTCTGGGTGGACTGGACCCTGTGCCCCAGGCCTGACTCACTCTGAGCCCCTGTGGATGCTGGCATGCTCACCCTGGTTTCACATGTGTACACATGTGTTACATGAATATCAGGAAAAGCCGATCTGTCTTGTGCTCCTGGCCACATCCAGACCCCTCAGAGGCACGGCCCTCAGAAGCAGGTGCGCATGCAAGCGCACACGCACACACAGAGGCAGTCACACACATGTGTACACCCATGGACACACCTCTTTGTTCTTCCCACACTGGGGTGCAGGGCAGGATTGCAGGACTTGAGCCTCCCTGCCCCCGGCAGGCCTTCTTTGGGTCTTTCTCACACCATCAACAGTTGCAGGCTCAGAGACACCACCACTGGCCCCAGGACACACAGCAGGTCTGAGGCCACCTCTGAGACCAACTGTCCCTCCTCCCACCACCTCCAAGGCAGAGAGGGGCCATGATGGACATAACACGACCGCAGGTCCCAGGACATCTTCCACTTTAATGAGGAAGCTGGGGCTGGGGAACAGGGAGTGGCAGGGAGCCTGGTACACAGCAGTGCTGGTGACAAGGTGGCCCCAGCTCAGGACTTTGTCTACATGGGAAAGCCGCGCCCAGCCGTGTGGCCTGAGTTAGGGACTGGAGGTCAGGGCGGGCATGGCGGGCACAGAAAACGTCAGCTTCTCAGCCTGGATGAAGGCAGTGCCCTTCTCGTAGTAGGCGGCCTCATTGATGAAGACGGGGTACACAGTGGTCTCCCCCTCATACAGCACGTCCTTGCCACTGAACATCTGGAAAATGGGGGCTCCAGGGTGCAGCGGCTCAAAGTCCCGGTCCTGGGAGGAAAGCCACAGACCAAGACGCTGGGGTTCGTCCCCCTCATGACAGCCTCACACCCCCATGCCTTCACTCTTGGTCACTGTGCCCTGGTATTTGATGAGACGGCCATCAGTTTGGGAATGGAGACACCGGTCAACTTTGGAAGATTCTGTCTTTGTGGACACGCAGTTCGTTGGTTACGGCTCCAATACAGAAGCCTGGGCTCAAAGCCTGTGTGGCTCTGGGCAAATCCCTTAACCTCCCTGGGCCTGTGAATCAGGGCTTGTAATGGTTATTACCACAGCACTTCGGGTAGTTTCTGGCACGCAGTAAATACAACACACAAATTTGCTAACTGCATTTAAAAATTGTGGGAGATTCTACCCCAAGTAACTGATGTCACCTAACATTCTGCAAGGAGGGCTAGTGAGAGGGGCTGGCTTAGATCCAGCCCCAAACCAGGAACGGATGTAACCCCTATTCCCTAACACTACTGCCAGTTACACAACACCTTAAAATAAGACCCACAACGGTAAAAATTAAGCAGAATGTCTGGGAAGATTCCAGTTTTTCTTGCAATTGTTTCTTTGGTCCATTTCTTTCAATCTGAAAGATCAGATTCCTCCCAGCATGTATCACTCTTGTGTCCTGGCTCTGCTGTGACCCCAGCACGTGCCTGGCCTGTCAGCTGGGTCCCTCCCCGTTTGCCTTGGTAGTCAGACCATAGCTGTCCCATTCAGGGGTGGGTTTGGTGATGGGCAAGGGCTGTGGGGGTAGGAGGTGGCCGTTTCTTCATAGGAGCATTGGGGCCCTCGAGACAGAAAGCCATCCATGTGGTTACTTGTCACTTGGTCACTCTGCTATTATTGAGAGTTCCCATCTGAGCTCCAGCAGCAGCAGAGGACCCCCTGACGTCGGAGGATCCCCTGAGGTCAGAGTCCGTATCGGGCAGCTTGGGCTGCTTCCTGAGGTCTGTGGCAGAGCCCGTTTCAGGGGTGCAGGGGGTCGCCTCTGAAATCCCCTGAACCCATCACCCAGAAGAGCTGAGGCTGAAGGCCAGGGTTTCTGTGTGAGTGGGCATCCTCCCACCTGGGCCACAGGGACGGACCATGGGCTGTGTGACTGCATAGACCCTGGTCAACAACGCTCTGGTGTGGCATCAGTCAGAGCAGACAGGCTGGTGGCCCACCTCACCCACTTCTGGGCCTGGTATAGAAACAGGCCAGCCCAATGCCTGGTCCTTCAGGAAGGGAAGGCCTGGAGAAGGAGGTACCATGCCCTGCAGAATTAGATATGCTCCAAGGATTAACTAACGGGAATAGAGAGGGGTCTGTGTTTGCACCTGGAAGCAGGTGGACTGGGCCAGGCCTGCTCCGCTTTCCTGCCCTCGCTCTGCCTTCTCCAGCCAGAGGCAGGTTGCCCAGGCGCTGAGGGGCTCTGTGGCTCCCAGCACCCAGCTGAGTGAGGGGGCTCCTGGGGAAGGCGTTCGGGTAAGGGATCAGGCCAGGAGAGTCAGGGATGATGGAGACAGGTCCTGCTCCAACCTCAGCCTCAGCTTCCTCAAATTCCTGACCTGGCCCCCAGGAGTAGGGTTAGGGTCAGCTGCACACACACCTGCAGCTGAGGGTGCACCGTGCCCGCCAGGTTTCCGTCCTCGGTGCGTGGGAAATCCACGAGGCCCACGAACCTGTAGGCTTCCGTCTCAAAGGCCGGGAAGGCCGCGCCTGCGAGGGGACTGCGTGTGAGCCCAGTGTGCGCGGAGCTGCGCCCCAGGCCGCCTCTGGAGAGCCCAGTGTCCCCGCCATCGCCTGGGGCCTCACCCTGGTTGAAGAGCTCAATGAAGTCCAGGGTTGAGGTCACCAAGGATCTCATGCGGGAGAAAATGTCCCCCCGAAGCACGCCCTGAGGCTGGGGGCCCAGCTCCAAGCCTGCAGGGGAGGGAGGGACAGGGTCAGGCAGCTGGTTCTTGGGGGTCTCCGGGAGGCTCCGCCCACGCCCACGCCACGCCCCACGCCACGCCCACATCCCCCTCCACTTCCCCGATGGCCCACCCAGTCCGTTCTTGGCCACAGAGTGGACGTTGTAGCTCTCCTCCCCGGGCCGCTGGTACAGTAACACCGGGCACCGCTGCTCGGGATTCTGCAGCTGGGAGCGGAAGGGGTGGGTCAGGCCCTTGGCTGACTTGGGAAGGGAACTGAGGCATGGGGTGGGTGATGGTGGAAGCACACCTCCTCTGCTGTCTTGGAGGGGAGTATCAGGCATTTGGGGGTGCCCACAGGTGGCAGGCCCCAGGGGGAGGGGAAAAGAAGAGCCGAGGCCGCCGGGCCCCGCGTGGGCTCTGTCCGCCCCCACCCGCCTCCCCAGCTCTGCGCTCCCGAAGGTTGGGGGCCAGGGCCACCTGCAGGTGGCGGCACAGGTGCATGACAAACACGTTGTGGATTGAGTCGGCGATGAGGCAGGTCCCCATGTTGGCCGTGGTGTTGTGCAGGTCCAGCAGGAAGTCGAAGGCCTTGCCCGAAGCCTTGGGGCCCAGAAGCTGGTTCAGCTCTCGGGCTCTGGTCACCTCGTACGGGTCATCTGCGGTCGCCGTGGTGCTGCCGGAGCGGAATTGGGTGGACACCTATCAGTCATCGACAGTTAAATGGGGGGCAACATGCTGTTGTCAGAGGGAAGACCCCAGGCCAGCAGGGAAACTTGCCCCAGACTTGTCCAGTCTGATTGCCTTGTGATGGTTCACAGAAGCCCCCCAGAGCACTCACAAATGTCCAACCCCTCCCTCATCAGTCCAAGCGAGTCCCGTCTGCCCCCTACACAGGCTGGAGCCTCGCCTTTCCTGGCTCCAGGTGCAAAGGCCTCTCTGCTTTCCCTCTCTTCATGTGGTTAACTGGTTAACTCCTGCTCACCCTTTGAGCTTGCCAAGCGACAGGTGGGGAGTCCAGGCCCTCCTTAGCCCCTCCCCACACTGCCCATGAAGGCAGCCTCTGAAGCTCAGTGAGTCCAGGACTCGGGGCCAGCCTGGGGGTCCCCAGGAGATGCTGGGGAGCTTTTCCATCCCTCTTGGCCTGCTAAGCTTTGTGTAGGCCCCACCCCTGCACTGAGCCTCCTGGGTTCTGCGTCTGCCTCCCCCTCACAAAGGTGAGGATATGTGGGTCCTTGTCTCCATTTTCTGACCTGAGCTAGCCAGAGCCTGGCCCAGAGAAGGGGTGTGATGACTGTCCGTGGAAGGAAGGCATGAATGACATCTGGGGCCCCAGACGAGTCAGTACAGTCTGTGGGGCTGATGTGAGGGGAGCCTTGGTGCTGGGGACCCAGCCTGGGAAATCAGAGAGGGCTTCCTGGAGTAGGTGACATCCATCCTGATTTTGCTAGGTGAAGAGGAATGAGTATGGCGGGGAGTAGAGACAGTGGGGGTAGGGGTGCCCTGCTGGTGGCTGGAGGACAGGGTGGGGGCTTCAGTGCCAGGCTGAGGGGCCGGCCACCTGTGCATCACAAGTAGGGCACTCACGTGAGGTTGGAGTTGATGAAGGTTCGGTTGAGGTCACGGTCCACATAGCGGCGGCAGGCAGCCACGGCCTTTGGGTTGGCGATTACAGGCACAGCGGTGAAGCTGGGCCTCTGCATCTCGCCTGGCTCCCGCAGCCAGTGCTGCACCAGGCACACGCCGGACATCTCGTTGCCATGGGTGCCCCCTGTCACAGCCACGCGACGCAGGGGCTCCCGGGGAATGGGCAGCGAGCTCATGTCAGTGTGTGGGGTGGGGCTCGGGAGGTGGAGGCACAGGTGCTCAGAGCTGGTGGGGGTGGAGATGCTGTGCTCCCCTCAGTCCAACGAGTCTAAGTCTGGCAGGGCGGTTGCCTGTCAAAATGGGTGGCAGGGTCTTGACATCGGTTGAACAGATGAAAGAAATGTCAAGCCGTCCAGACCCCACCCTCAGGGACCTGCCAGAGGTTTGCCACCTGCACCTCAGAGGTCAACTCAAGTCCACTCCTCGCCAAAGATGCCAGGAGTCCCTCGATCAGCTCCTTCCTCTTAGGACATGCACAGCCTTGACCCTGCTCCAATCTGGGGAGGGATCGTTTCTTGCCTGTTGAGCAGAGCAGCCCAGACATTCAGGGAGATGGGGATGCATGCCCATTTTGGGGATAGCAAAACTGAGGACAAGTGAAATGTGGAGACTAGTGCAAGATAGAGGTGAATCTCTGAACTCCAGGTGACCTGCTCCTTCCTGTTCTTCTCTGTGCTCCTCTGGGGCCAATGAGGGATAAGTGCTTACCTGGGGGTACAAGCCTGAGTTCCGTGGGCCACCAGGACTAGGCCTCTAGACAGATGAGTATTTATGGGTTCAGCAGTCTCTGAGCAGGAAGTGGTTCTGGGGAGTTAAGCTGGCCCAGCAGGCAGTTGGCCAGTGGAGCAGGCTGAGGTCCAGCTCTCCCTGTCCTGGCCCCACCCCACGCTGCTATTTTCAGTGGAGTCAGGGGGCATAGGACAGCCTGCTTCCAGGGTACAGACACACAGACTCCGGCCTCTGCTGGAGAGAATCACCCCCAGGAATCCTAGAAGGCCTGGGCGAGGAGGCTGTTCCGCAGAGATGACTTAAGCTTGTGTGAGGAACAGCTAAATTCAGGCATTCCTGGCACGGATCTCAGCTAAGGAGAGGCGGGCCCAGAGCCCAAGCTCTGACTGAGGCACTGCCAAGTGTTTAACTCCAAGAAGCCCGACCTTTAGCCACCACAGGTAGGCCGCTGCCAAGCACTCACAGCACGTGGCTTGCAGCCACCCAGAGGAGGAGTGTCCACTCTCCTTCTCAGCACTGTGCTTCTGTCCATACAGTTCCTGTTCATACTGTCACTGGGTCACCCTGACCTTAAGGGTCACGCCCTTTGGGTCCCAGCTTCACAGCTCTCTGGAGTTTTAAATTAAAACACCAAGTGGTAAGAAGCTGTGCTGCAATCTCAAAGGCAGGAAGTTCTAATCCACTCCCTGCTCCGCAGGAGAAAGACGGGCGCTCTCCCCCCACGCAGTTTACGGCCACTGAAAGAACACCTGCTGGAGGGTCAGTTCTGGCGGCAAACGACGACGACATTTGATTTTCAGGAGCCAGTCCTCTCACAAGTTGTGGCCTGCTCTGTTTTGAATGTCCCTCAGTCCCATTGTACAGAGGTGGCATTCAAGGCTCTGGAAGGAGAACTGGGATTGGAACCTACGGGTGTGCAGTCCAAGTCCCCGCTCCGGCCACTGCCTTTCAAGGCAGACAGCAGAGGAACAACGGCAGGTGCTCTGCCCCCAGTCACTGTGGCCTGTCCTTCCTGCCAGACCTGCATGAGGAAGGGCCAAGAAGATCCCAGGGTCATCGAAGCAGCACAAAGCAGGACTGGTCCAGCCATCACGCTGCCTGCCTGGCCCACGTGCCCCATCCAGAGTCCCCACACGGCTGCAGACCCCACACCTCTCAGCATTGACCTTGCACCTGTTCAGCCTGGTCACGCAGCCTAGCTCCCAGGGAGCACTGAGCAGGGCAGGGCCTCCTTTGGAGACCCATCTTTGTTCCTGTCATGGCTGCTGGACGGGGGCTGGGGTGCTGAAGGGTGAGGCTGGATCACTAAGAGGGGACCCCCAGGGTCACCTTTCTGGGGTGTGGAGCCTCTGTAAAGGGGCAGGCAGAGACCGACCCCTCCTGGTAGCCACTGGATACTGACAGACCTTTAATAGCCCTAAACAAAACCCAAACCCAGGCCAACCAGAAGCAGTTCCTGCCCGGCCATGTCTGACTCTTGGTGACCCACGTGTGTCCGAGCACAACACTGCTCTGTAGGGTTTTCTATGGCTGATGTTTCAGTAGATGACCAGGCCTTTCTGCTGACGTACCTTGGGATGTATTTGAACCTTAAACTTTTACGTTACACAGATGACACAACTCTGCCTACTGAAACCAAAGAGGAGCTGAAATGCTTGCTGCAGAAGGTCAAGAACTGCAGCCTTCAATATGGATTGAAGCTCAACATCAAGAAAACAGTTTCACACCACTTGCCCAATGATAGACAGTGAAGAGATTGAGATTGCTAACAGCTTCTGTTTGCTTGGCTCCACAATCAACACTCTTACTGCCAGCAGCCAGGAAATCAAAATTGCACCGTAAAATCTAGTGTAAGGGACTTCTCTAGAGTACTGAAGAGCAACAAAGTCAATCTAAAGACTACAGTGCGCCTGATTCAGGCCATAGTCTTTTCAGTTACTTACTACACATCAGAAAGCTGGACAATGACTAGGGATGATAGAAAAAAGAATTGTTGCCTTTGAGCTGTGGTGCTGGAGAAGAGTATGAAACACACCATAGACTGAGGGTGAAACCAGGCTGTTCCTCAGAGGCAAGGATTCTGAAGCTCCATCTGACATATTATGGGCATGTTTCAAGGAGGGGCCAGTCCTTAGAGAGAGACGTCATGTTTGGGAGGGAGGAAGACCCTGGATGAGATGGATTGACTCAGTGACTGGGGTAATGGGAGTAGGTGTGTCAGAGACAGTGCGATTGGCACAGGACAGAGCAAGATTCAGGGCTGTTGTACACAGGGTCGCTATGAGTCGCAAGGAACTCAACAGCACATAACAACCACCACCTACTAATGACTGTTTGTGCCCCAGGGACATGTTAGCAGCCCTAGAGGACAGCTATCATTCACCTCATGTGCAGAGGAAGACTGAAGACCCCACCCCAGTTAGTGGTGGTGAAGGGAATCAGTGTTGTGTCCACACCCTCCCACCCCACTCTGCTGGTCAGGGCTGAGGGTGCCTGCCTCACTGAGTCAGAAGTTGAGCTCTGCTCTAACCCCCTACCAGGCACTGGGGGTCTGCTGACTCGGTGCTGGAACTCTGGGCAAGGGAAGGCCAGCTCAGAAAGCCTGATTATTTTGGGGGCTCAAGGACCAGAGTTCTTCCTGCCAGAAGGTGGTAGGTCCCTCTGTTGGGGCTGTAAGGGTGCTGTACTTTCACTCCCCTTGGCGGGGGCCAGCTTCCCCATTTCAGAGTGGAAGGGATCGGGAGCTGGGATACTGCTGAACCTCATCTTTTAGCCCCAGGAAGTGGAGGGACCTCGGCCTCCTCTGACTGACACCCCTTGTCCAGGTCTCTACCTCTGCTGTGCTGTGTGACCTGCAGTGAGCGCATGCCCTCTCTGGGCCTGTGGGATCAGGGGGAGGGGGCTGTCCCCAGTCCCCAGGCACCTGAGGACATGAAGAAAGAGCACAGGCCACATAAGCTCTGGAGGCCATCCAGAGCAGGCATGGGGGCCGAAAGGGCATCAAGACGTCAGGGGGGCCACTGTCTCTGTTGTAGTTGGGGAAACTGAACCCCAAAGAGAGTCCAGGATTTGATCCAATCCATGACATTGTAGTTAGACCAGGAAGTCACCTGTCCAATGGATTTGCAGGATGGACTGGCGCTGTCCCACATCCTGCTCTTGTCCTGTGGGATCACCCCACCTTCAAGTGTGGCTGCTCCAGGCAGTCCCAGGACCGCCAATGATCAGGTCACGTGTCCTCCTCCTTCAAGCACAACTTGGTCCCAATAACACCCCATCCTTCCCCTTCCAACTACGGGGACTCCAGAGTTCAGCCCTGGGGTCACTTCTCTGTTCTTCCTTCAGATGACCTCACTCTGGTCTCTGCTTCATGTGCCTTCTGTCTACAGCACCAGAGTCACACCCCAGGCCACCAGCTGTTGCCTGCCACCCCCTCATGCCACTCTCCGGATTTGAGGAAGCAGGGAAGGAGGTGGACAGTCCACAGGCCCTGAGTCCAAGGGGATGTTGACCTCTGATGGAGTGATTGAGGACTGAGGGCTTAGGGTTAAGAAGCAGAACTGTCAACCCAAATGTTGTTCGTTGTTATGTGCCATCGAGTCGCTTGTGACTCATAGCGACCCTGTGTACAACAGCCCTAAACTCTGTTCTGTCTTGTGCCAATCGCACCATCTCCGATACACCCATCCCGATTACCCCAGTCACTGAATCAATCCACCTCATAGAGGGCCTTCCCCTCCTGCGCTCTCCCTCCACCCTCCCAAGCATGATGTCCCTCTCCAAGGACCTGTCCCTCCTTACAACATGTCCAAAGTATATTAGATGGAGCCTCAGAATCCTTGCCTCCAAGGAGCCGCCCGGTTTAACCCTCTCCAGGACAAATCTGTTTGTTTTCCTAGCAGTCCATGGTACCCTCAATACTCTTCTCCAGTACCACAGCTCAAAGGCATCAATTCTCCTTCTATCCTCCCTAGTCATTATCCAACTCTCTGATGCATAACAAGTGATTGCAAATACCATGGCCTGTATCAGACACACCTTAGTCTCCAGAGAGATACCATTGCTCTTTAGTACTTTGGAGAGGTCCCTAACAGCAGACTTTCCCATGGCAATACGTCTTTTAATTTCCTGGCTACTGATGCCGAGACTGTTGACTGTGGAGCCAAGCAAACTAAAGCTGTGAACAATCTCAGTCTCTTCACCATCCATTCTGATGCTGCCAATTGGCCCAGTGGTGAGAATCTTTGTCTTCTTGACACTGAGCCTCAATCCATATTGGAGGCTGCAGTCCTTGACCCTCTGTAGCAAGTGCATGAGGTCCTCCTCAGTTTCAACAAGCAGGGTTGTGTCATCTGCATAACGCAGATTGTTGATAAATCATCCACCAATCTTGACCCCACATTTCTCCTCATAGAGCCCAGCCTCCTGGATAATCTGCTCTGCATAC